GGCTGGCTGGCCGGCTGGCTGGCTGTATTCGGGTGGCCCAGGCAACGCCAGAAAAATGACATTCCAGACGGAAGAAGCAGAGCCGGAAAAGGAAAGACGACGAGGCTGTGATCAAACGACCTTTTCTAATGGTCGTGCTTCACTCCTTGATCCACCAAAAGATACCAAATCGTGCCGCCAAAAGTATCCCTGGCAAGCCAGACGCCATGCCTCCGCCAAAGTGACCATCTACAGAATGATTGTGCCCATCAGCCTCACACACACACTCACACACTCACACAAACACTCGGACAGAAAGACACACGAACAAGAAATTCCTCCGTTTTCTGGCTGCAGTTGAACTGGCCAAACCCGCTGTAAGCTTGTTGGCGACGCATGTCGAAGGAGGGCATAGCGACGAGGTTTGTCCATGTTTAGTCGGATTTTGGTGGGATCTTCATGAAGTTGCCAGAAGACTCAATGTTCGATCGGTTTGCTGATACCATTCGTCAACGCCCCCTTCAGAAGCCGTCTGTGCGGAATCCGGCACGAGTGTGTGTGGGTGTGCGAGCGCAATTGCGTGTCTATGTTTACATGAGTGTGAATATGCGTTGGTGCATTTGCACGTTTGACTATTTATTGTTATGTATTATTGCAGATGTTAATTATTGCCAACTTGCGAGAGAGACAGATAGACAGTGCGGGTGTGAAAAATTAGGGGATTAAAGGCTCTTATTGCTGCCTAAAAGACAAAGGCTTCGTACGTCCATTTCAAGGAACACGAACTGGCAAGACAGTAAAAGGTTTTCTGGAGGTTAGGGTTTATGTTTAATTTCCAGGCCAACTATTTTTACTTAGTAGCAGCAGCAGTAGTAGTAGTAATGATGGGGGAATTTCAGTTGGTATGAAAATGCATAAAGAAGAGATTCGATGGTGGAACTGTTGAGAAAAGACGATGGCGGATTCCCGTTGAAGCTCAGCCGTTTGGTGTTAAAACGGCGTTCAGGTTGACACAATCCACGAGACATCCTCCCTCGAATGGGACGAAAACACGCTCATCCTCCGCCGATGAAATGACTCACCTCATCAAAGCTGGAACCCATTCCTGTCAGAGTCTCAAGTTGGCAAACGTCAAGTCAAGAAAACTGTCTGGCTCTATCTGACCTCTTCTACATACCCAAAACTGCAAGCGAAAGTGTATAGGCATCGATGAATTGATATAGCATGGTCTGTCTAACTATCTTTCATATTGGTCATGGTAGTTTTATTTGATTGTGTGTGTGTGTATGTGTTGACGTCTTTGCCCAATGCCTGTCCTAATATGAGATGTAATCACCCAATTTCGTTTAAGGTGATGAAGGACTGGTAGAAGAAGAAGAATTTTCCCACAATCCTATGAGTTGAACTGATGTTTCCATTCAGCTTCTTCTACCAGTCCTTCATCACCTTAAACGAAATAGGGTCAATATATCTCATACTACTGATTTACTGGTAGTCTCGAAACAATAATTAATGCAAAAAAAGGCCTATTTTCAAGTTTTGACCATCGAGGCTTAGTAACACAAGAAAACGTATTAGCCGAGATTGAGTAAGTCCGTAAGCAACTTCGGTTAAATTAATGCCATGTAAACTTGTACGCATGCAAGTTGAAGTACGAAGCCACCCATCATTAAGACTTAATGATACATGGAAGGCATGACATGCGATTGCGCAATCTCGATTGTCTGGTTTGGTTGATCAGTTTAATCCAGAATGTTGAACAAGTGTGAATGAAGTTGGAAGCATCACCGGCCTCATCCTCCTACTCCTCCTCCTACCTCTCCCTCTTTCCTGCTCCACTAATTATTATCATCAGCAATTTCAGCATTGGCATCATCATCGTCATCATTACTACGACGACTATCCTATCGCTACCACCATCACCAACATCATATTCATCGCATTCATGTTTCTGGAAGGTGGCTCAACATCGTCTTCTTTATTTATTCTCTTAATCAAGACTAAGCAGTTATTCGAACGTATGAAGATCAAGATGGTGTGGCCTTTTGTGTAGTCGCAGTCTCTTTGAAGAGTTGTAATATGATGCTACGAATGGCGAGACTCAATGACGATGCCGACTATGATGAAGGCGAAACGTCTGTGAATGTACCACGTTCACGGTCCTACTCTGTACATGATGATGCATACAATGAACTCTGGAAAAGCTGCGTTCCTCTAAGTCTTCCTACCAACATGACCAAGTTGCGAAAACAAGTTCAAACAACTTCTTAACAACTTCTAAGTACTTATTAATCATATTCCTGCTACGGTTGGTCACTTTCAGCGAATTCCTTAATCGAAAGTCAAACGGCTACATTTCAACGAGTATGGGCCGTGGTGTTCTGGTGAAATGACCTTGGCATCTTCTCTTCACACAATTTCATACGAACTGACGGTTCAACAGCGTTAACTCTAATGCATCCACCGAAAGCCGGTTGCTTTTGTTCGTAGTGGTAGTAGTGATAGTGTTATGAGTAGTAGTTTCTTGCCAGTCTCGACTGCCTGACCTGACAGATTCAAGCAGCCGAAAAGGTGATCCGCTCTCAGAGTCAAACCGAGACTGTGTCGACGCATCGTCTGGACTCGGTCCGGATTTCGACGTGACGCTCTTTCTGGACTATTCGGCTTACGAGTTATGCTCCAGTCTAATATCTACTTTTATCAGGCGTGAGTAGTAGAGCAGATTGTCTTCGATTTCGTGTGAAGAGACGATGGAGGATTGCTTTGGAGCTGTGACTGCCAACTTGCTCAACACATTTCCTGTCTTATCTTTGGCTTTCGCCAAACTACCCTAAGCGTGTTGGTCTGTCTTGTTGGTGCCCGTCACATGACACAAGGACGCTCTTCAAGGGACATTCGAGGTGGTGCTGATCTGTCGCCACAGCAACAAGAAGGTGCTGCTTTGGCGTCGTCTCGAGATTTTCTTCACGACATAAGATTTCTGTCGACTAATTAGCTGATCGAAGTGATTCTTCTCTTCTCTTTCTTTAG